AAAAATTAAGTCTTTTTGTCTAGATGGATCAAGTGTTGCAAAAGGGACAATAAATTTTATCCAGATACAAGTAGAATATATTTCATTCTACTTATTCTGTTCATTTTGTTCATAAAGTTTATGAAAGATTTACAAAATGAATTGTTGGATAAGTCAAAGATACAGTACATTCATATATATTACTTGTTTTAGTATAAAATTGCAGAATATTTTCTATTTCGGGTTTACCAGTCTGAAAGATTCTGAAGAAAACAGCTGTCCTTACATTAAATTTACTGGATAGAATAAACCCACCAGTTTCAGAATGAAAAAGAAGTTAATGATCTTTTAACAAATACTGATGACAATAGTAACAATCTTGAAGATGAATACCATTATGAAATACTAGCTGTTACCTGCGACTTCGCCCGCGGAGGTTTTGCAAGCAAACCCCATTTATATTCGGTATTTCAACAACCATATTAATTGTTATATAACACCTACTGCTGAGAATTGCTGAGAATCAAACAAACTATTTTGAATTTGATCAATTTTCTGGAACGTTTACAATTGTTCTATAATATAAAAAATTGAAATATATAAAAATATTTATAACAATGTCTGAAATGTTATTAATTTAATACACTTAAATACTTAATGAAGACTAAAAGTAACAAAAAATCGCATCTAAAATAGTACAGTAGAAGCCGTTCTTCCAGTTAAGACTTAATCCTCTCCCTCCCGTGGGGGAATTTCAAAAAATCCCTTCTTAGTGAGCGTTTTCATGACATACCCTAACTGTGTACCAAATTTCACCTTTTTAGGTTCCTGGGCGATGATGAATCAGTGAGTGAATGAGTCAGTCAGTCAGGATAAGCAACTGTTAGAAGAATATGTTTTAAAATCAGAGTATGAAAAATTGCTACTTCTATTATTTTCTTATAAACAATTTATTACAATATTAAAAAAGAAGAAATACCTGTTGTCTAAATCTAAAAACAAATTAACTGGTTTGATTTTTGTTCTTTTTTGTAGACCTTTGTTCCAGTTAACTACAGATTTGTTAACAAAAATAGTAGTATTTCTTGCTGTAATACCTTAATGTAAAGGCTATTGACACATTAGGTTGTTCAGAAAGTAATTTTGTTTTTTCTATGAAAAAAAAATAATAATTTTCTTATTTTATTGAATTATATAATAATTATATATTTTGGTCTAATCTTTGCCATCTTTCTGGTGGTAGCATGATTCCACACTCATAAAAGTTTCGATCTTTACTTACAAAAACTGATCCAAGTGATTTTTGACATTTTCATTTGAAGTAAATGTTTTATCGTTTGTTACTTGTCCTGGTCTTTACAAAATTGCTTAATCTGAGGATGATGGGTGTGGTAGCAACATTCCATCCAAGTTGTAACAGCTTCTGACAAGTTATCAAACTTGTGAGGCATTATGGTGAAACACTGTATCTTTTCTGTTGATCAAGTCTGGCCTTTTCTGTTTGATGGTATCACTCAATTTGTCCAATTGTCTGGAAAAAACAGTTTCCTTAAAATCCCACCAAACAGAGCATTACTTTTTTTTATGAATATTGGCTTTCAAAGTGCTTTGAGCCAGCTCATCTCTTCTACTCCATTATTGCTTGTTGTTATTGTGAAATCCGGAATTTTTACAGAATTTTCTGATTAATATCCCACAGTTTCCTAAGCCTCCAATTAGATTTTCGTTTAGGATTGAAAAGAAAATTAAACAGAAAAAGGGAAAAATTCCAATTTCCCCTTTCATTCGAAGTAAACATCTGTCCATTTCCCACACTAATCCCTCGTTCCAACTCCAAAGTTGATAGTTAGCAGGAGCCCGGGGACAACTTTGACCCATCCGAGTACCTTTTACCTCACAACAATCGGCCACGTGACCATTCTCCCACGACGAACTTATAAAAACCACTTCCTTCCCCTTTTTTCGAGGGAGTCGTTCAAGAACAGAAGCAAGAGAAGATAACTAAAAAGAAAATAGTGTCCATTTCCTACCCCATAGAACTTTCCTGAACTGGATAAAACAATAAGTAAAGAGGTATGGAACCAATTACTGTAAGCTCTCTCTCGGCCGCTCTGGGCCTTAGGGACGCGAACTAGATGCTGTACTACCCGCCATTAGATCTAATAAATTGTTGTTTCTTGTTAAAATTTGCCTCTTCGTTTACTCGTATATAGTCCATCCCCTTACCGACGGCACTCCTCCCTCCACCACTCGATCCGAACATTTAATCCCGTTACAGAGGGAAAAAGAGAAAATTTTGCCATCTTGACAGTGATCAGGTTTCACGACCTGTCGCCGTACAGGGAGCCCTTCAACTCTTCCCAGCGGTTCACAGTATTGTTATAATAAATCCATTTTTTGTTACCAGTTATGCTTCACTTCAAAAATGGATCATTTTCTTGATGTTTGAGAAGCAAATTACAGGTGTCAATGCGACGGAGCAAATCTCTCTCTTTAATGAAATGAAACAGTCATTTCAAGTGATCATAAATGGTTGAATTCGACAAATTTAATCTCTTAGTGATTTCTTGTGTTGTTATTTGGCAGTTTGCTTCAATCAATATCTTTATTTTGTCCTCAATTAGCTTAAATTGGCCTTCCAGAATGTGGTGCATCTTCAATATAAAAATTGCCAGAACCAAAATTTTGCAAACCAGATTTGTCATCATCTCTGTACACGTCACACAAGTTTTTTCTTGCTTGAACAGCATTCTCACCTTTTCAGTAATGAAAAAGCAAAATATGCCAAAAATGCTGCTTTTGATTTTCCATATTTGATGAGATACATTACATACAAGAAAGACACGAGTACTTTCCCAGGCTAAACCAAATAAAAAGATGAGACACCGGCACTTCAGGGCATTTGTCCCCGTGAAGTAGTGTTCGTCCTCAGTTCCTCGTTGGCCATACATAGCAGACACCACTGGACTATCCCAAGATGCCATGCAGTAGATGCACATCTCTGGTTTCAACAGATGATGCCATAAGAAGACAGACTCGCCATTATTCACCCGCATTCCTCTCCAAGGTATCTTGTTAGCCAATTGTTTATAAACTCTCTAATTCGAGATTAGCCAGGCACGCGTTCACAGCATAGGAAGTAGAATAGTCATTACACCTTGTAAGATTTGATATTATCTGCTTGTATTTTCTTATATATCCTAGATATATATTAAACTTTTGTTATGTTTGTTAAACCTGTTTGCCTGTCTCTCGCTTGGGAAAACAGACACCCTCTCAACTTACATTTTCGAGTGGGGAGTGCGCACGGGTATCTACCCTCCTACATCATTTAAGAATCCTAACTGGTGTTAGTCCTGACGTCGGACAAATCTCACAATAATGTTAACTTACTGACTAAAGCTAACAAACCCTAATCTAATTTAACCTAACTGGAAACCAAGCTAAAAGTTCCTAATCTAACTTGCAACTAGGACTAACTGAATTTAGACTGAAAAAGAAGACAGAATTAAAATACAAAGTTGAAAGGCAGTTATACTGACAGTTGAAACAAAGCAAGAGAAAGCTAATTGCCATCCGTGCCCCTGGAGTGAATGCTCTCAAGAGCCCCATTAAGGATATGAATGCGAGTAGATGATGGAAAATTGTGCGCGCGTGTGTGTGAATGAGTTGGTGTGGGTAGCAAGGCCAGATGTACCTTTCAAGAATAGCAGCTCTCATTAAACTATCCCTAATGTGATTGTACCTATTGTAGCGAAAAAATAAGTGAAGTGCTGTTTGGTCCTCTTGAATACCACAATCGCATTGTGGATTGTCCCAAAGGTTAAATCACAAAACAACAATCATTTGATGAGAAAAAAAAATGCAAAGAATCAAAATTTTTTTACAAATAAGTCGTGAAATGTCAGCTGTCAAAATATATAATGACAATATGATTTAGAATGAAATTGGCAGCTAAAATACAACTAATCCTTCTAGTGGTAAAAAAACGAAATTACTTTCCAAACAACCCAATATCTTCTATTTAAAAAAATAAACTGCAGTAATCTTTGCCATCTTTATCATCAATGAAGAATTGTACATCAAGTAAATTTACGACAAGGAGTATTAAAAGATATCTTATTAATGTTGAAATTGGCTGGAGAAAATTTTGACTTTCAAAAAAGCAGTGGTGCTTTCATTCAATGAAGTCAAAATCATACTCTTAAAGCAGTTTGAAATGATTTTTTATATTAAGAAACATCTTAAAATGTTATGTTGCTCACCAAAATAACATAACATAGCTATTTGTAAATGAACAATGGAAATTATTGGTTGTGTGTATGTTTTAAGATATAATTTTTATTTATATAAATTAGGCTGGAAGGACAATTGGTTCAAAATTCATTTCTAATTTTTCATCTGCTAATCAGTTATCTTTATTTTCTTAGTCTTTGCTTGTAATAAATATATAGTAGAGTTAATGATTGTATTCTAACTAAAATGTACAGTGGTTAAAATTATTTTACTTTATTTTGTTGGTATTAGCAAAGGGATTTATTCAACTGGCTTATACATAAACTTTTGCATGAGTATCATTATCTAATCATTTATAACTAGTAATCAAAAATGTTATTGCTTACCTGAAATGAAATGTTTCTGACAAACTCTTGTATTGATATTCACTTTATCCGTATTGAAATTTTTCCAGTTAATTCTTGAGAACCATGCAAATTGCTTGGTCATAAAAGCTCCTCAGTTTGAGGTTCTTGATGACAAATAATGCTGGGAATTTTAAAAAATGACATTTGTTTGTTCTTGAGTGAACTAATATCACACCCAATTACATAAAAATTTACCACAGTGATATTTGCGACGAATAAACAACACACAAACACCAGCTAAAGTGCACGTAAATACACCACAAAGATTGCATTGGACAATGGCGCATGATCACTTGAAACCTCTATATTTAGTCCTTGTAAACATTGTAAACTATTAATTTTTTATATACTACTTTCAAAGAAAAAGACCAAGAAAACTGTAATGTGTATCCATTTTATTATAAAATAGTAGGTGGATAAACTTCCATTTCTTCAGGTGCATTGCACTTATGAAATAAACTATTTCAAAACTGGAATGTTTAATTATTCTTCTTAAATAAAAACATATCCAACTCTGGCCGTTGGCAAATTCAAAGAAAACAAGTTTCTTTGGCATATCAAATATATGTATCTTTGGCTTTCACATTGAGCAATGTACAGTCTATTTTCTATTTTAAAACTCATTGCAAGTTTTATAAATATGATACTATGACATATAAAATGAATCAATATATAAAACATTTACATAATAATATTGGTTATCCATCATTATGAATTATTCTACAATTTGCTATACAAAGGTATTATTGGCTAACTAAAAATATACTTTACAATTTGACAAAATAATATCAATGTTTTTACAAATGACAATAAATTATAAATATAGGAACAATATATATTGAATGAGTGATTATTGATTCAAGAATTATAAATGTTTGCTTGAGTATTTGAATAATTTGTTCATTTTGTTCAGTTCCATTTGAATGAAATTAGAAAATATTTTTTGGCCCCATTGACTTTTTTGATGATAACTGGCCATTTTTATGTAAGGGTGATTACTACTAATCGTCTTTGGAATGAGGCCATATTCCATTCATGGAAAGCGATCTGCGTTCTCTTGTAACAGTCCATTGAGCAAACGATTTAAATCTTCTGATAAGCTCTTGTCTCACGGCTGCAGTAAATTTTGTTACCAGACACAAAGCGGTGGCCACGGCAAACACAAGATTGTAAAAAAGCACGATGTAAAAATTTCCTAGCCATTCGATTCTTCCGAAATCGCCCAATAAATCAAAATTTGTTATACCTGATTAAAAGAAATATACAGCTTCTGTTATCAAGAAATTCCATTAAATACTAAAGTTTGACAGTTTTTATAAATTTAAATTTTATTCTATATACTTAAGCACTTTGTACAAATTTGAAAATGTTAAAGTTGTATGACATTTTTTAAAAGCATGAAATTTAAATTCTCAAAAATAAACTTTAATGTTCTAGTGAATATAGTCTGTAGCATTATAATATAAAACCAGAGTGAATTTTAATTCTCTTGGAAAATATCATTCAAAAATTTTTGAATGCTTAATAATACACTGATGTTGGTTAAATTATAAATTGTTTTGAATTTGTATCAAATAAGTGGTTTGTATAGCAAAATTAAATTATGATAATTATATAAATGCAATATGGTTTATGCCAGGCCAAAGAAAGCATAATAAAATTATTAACATCTGTACTTCAAGCAATCCCTGAAATGTATGTAGTCATCTGATTCAGTTTTTTTTTTAAATGTGAAACAGCTTTTAATAGTTCAAATATTTGAACTATCCAAATGTATAACAATTGTTTTTGAAATTCATGTCGTATTTACTCGCATATAAGATGATTTTATTCATTTTTCACTGCTTCAAAAACCTAGGTTGTCCTATATGCAGTAGCAAAGGATTTTTTGCACTTTTGAATAATTTTTGTAAACCGTGTATTTGCATTTTTTACCAGATGCTCACTTTCTGGTGTTTAAAAACAACTATTTTATCTGGGTCGTTTGAATCGTTCTTGTGTATTACCAGGAGTAAAGACGAATAGCAATAGGAAAAGCAAAGCTTTTGAATTGAAATTCCAAAATCACATGGGAGTAGGGAATTCGATCCCGGTCCTTATTTCTAATCCCGGGATTATTTCGGTATTGAGGGTTAATAAAAAATAAGAAAATCTTATAGATATCAAAAATCAAAATTTAGACAAAAATCAACGCATTTTACGGTATACACCTAGTTAATACAGACTTAGAGTCAGACTAACCAGACTTAAAATCACTGTTTCATGTTAAATTTATTCTTTTTTAAGCATCACTGAGATCTCTTTAAACTCACATAAATTGAAAAAACCTTTATGTAACAAACTATGCAAATAAACGTTGAAAATTAACAAAAATCTCTCTTAACATCGACTAAATAGACTACTTTCATATAACAACCTAGTAAGTAGGTAGTAAAGTAAGTTTCTTAGCAAAAAGTATTTAAAAATAATATTAATCAGTCACATTTTTCTTAAATATAAAGAAAACTAATCTAATAGGAACATTCTAATTTGAATTGCGAAAATATGATCTGAGAAATAACAACGCATCCAGTGTCTCATCACCAAGTCTGCTTCTCAATTTGTTGCACATATATGCAGCTGCTGAGAAAACGCGTTTAGGTTTGATGGAAGTTGGAGGAATCGTTAGTAAATACTTATAAGCTTCGAGGACACGGGGAGGATGGAAGAAAACAGTCCGGTCGACACGGATCGGGATTGTAGGAGTAAAGGCTACAATCCCGATTGTTTCGATCATTGTAAGCATGTCTTTCTAAAAATAAACGCGTTAATTTTGTAAATTCGGTCTCTGTGTGAGTCTCTCAGCGTCCAGCAAACCACTACCCCGAAACGTAAAAAGACTTTCTCGCATCATCCTGACAGATCGCGGGCAAGGCGAGGGTCATAACCTTTTCACCTAAGGTCGACCCCCCTAAGCGAGAGGCGTCGGGTCTATATTAACCACACTGGCAAAACAAGATGGCTGACACATTGACAGGTAAAACGCACTGAGTAGTGCTCTCGACTGCGCCAGAAAATCGATTGGCGCCCGCGAAAATTCAAAAATACAAAAATGAAGTATATTACCAAGTAACCCAGTGAGAACTGCTTGCCTATCATTTTAGTTGAAAATACAAGAAGTTTTATTCCAAGCAAGCATCGCAAGCCCGCTAGGTTAATTTCTGCTGCTTGCTTGGAATAAAATTTCTTGTATTTTATATTAAAATGATAAGCAAGCAATTCTGTTAAAAGCACTGGCACTGAATGTTTTGCTTCGTGCAGTCTATTTTGCAACTTTTTTTAAAATGATGTCAATCCCGAAAATCTCGGGATTAGGAAAACTTAATCCCGAAAATTTTGGGACTGAAAAGTTGTCGCGATCCCGGGATCAAATCCTCTACATGGGAGCCCGATATAAGTTTTAATCCATTCCCGCATGAAAAGATGAATGTTTGGAAATCAGAATTCGAAGAAACTCAAGTGTAATCAACGGATAGTGTATTTGACTTAAGAATTGGCAAAAGAGGTTCCAGATTGTTCAGCTTTACATGAACAAATTAAAGAAAAATCTTGTAAAATCGACAAAGTTTAAAAGTAATTTTTGCAGGACAATGTGTGCATTTACATGCATTTGATATTTTATTTGTGATTAAAGATCAAAATAAAGAAAATTAAAATTAGAATTGTATTAATAAATCTATTTCATTTAAAGTCGCACTTCGTCTTATATGCAAATAAATACGGTATTGAATATTTCAATTAGTATTAATAATGAAATAATGGATTTTAATTAGATTAGGCTATAGATTCTTTATTCTTTGGAAAGTTGTGTGTATTTACTAATTTTTTTTCAATAGAACAATTCATCTCAAATATCTATATCTGTAATTGTAACTCTGTTATTTTCTAACATTATAATATTACACAAATGTTTAATAATTTGAGTTTGTTTTTGTCTAGCCAAAGCTTGCATGCAAACAATTAAGTAATCTGTTGTGCATTCTACTAAATAAAGTGATATATAATTTAACAATTGTTGATCAAGATATTTTTGAAATTAGTAACAATTCAAATAACACTTAGTGTAAACTTTTTGGTATTTTTAACTTTTGGAAAAAAAAATAATTTTTGATAAAAAAATTTATTTTACTTATTGTATTTAATTATGTTTATTTATCAAACAAAGATAAGACAGATCTAATATTTCTAAGATCTAACTATACAATAGGTGGTTTTAAAGAAATATACTACCAACATTATACTTAAACAAAATTTTAAAATGAAATATAATTTGTATACAGTTGTTTACAGACTAACTCAAGCACTGGGAAGAATAAAGAAAAGTTTGAATTATCTATTTCTGCATGCATCTAATATTTGGCAAAAATCACTTCTCTGATTTCTTTCAACTCTCTTCATCACAAATTCACAAATTTTTTAACTAAAGATGCTTTTGTGTATTCCATGCTTAGACACAAAAATTTAACTAAACAACTGTGCCAATCTAACAAAATACATGATATTTGAACCTGAAGTGTGTATTTTCAATAAACCAGTAGATACTTTCTCTAGTATATTTCAAATTCAATATATAAAATATGCTAACTTTGAATTAACTGAATGTATAATAAAAACTTCAATTAACATTAATTGAAACATGAATTTCTAGAGTAGGAATAGTGGATTTGAATTAGTCACAGTTTATACATTCAAATCTAGTTAATTTTCTTTAGATTAAAAATAAAAAAAAAAAGATGTAACAAATATTTTGACTAAGATTTCAAAAGCGAATCATCATCATCTAAAAACTGTCAGAAATATGTGCAATTGGTGGTGAAAATCTTCATTTGAGATGGATTAACAAAGAAAAAGAATTTAATATAGAGATTTAAAAAAAATATTGTATACAATTCCAAAAAAGCAGTTTATAACTAGTAATAACAATTTACCAATAACAGAATATTTATGCATTTAAAAGTGGTAATTAAAAATCCACATCCACTTATTTAATAGAACCAAACTATTTGAGAATTATTTGGAAGTGTATACAACAAAACTTTTGAACATTTAATTATAGAACTATAAATATAAAGATATGTCATACATATAAAATCTTACCTAATGTACGAGCTAGGACAGGTAAAGCAGAACTCAATATGAGGAGTACAGCACAGTTACCAATTACCTGAGTCATAGACGTGTCATGTAAATGTGGCCTCAATCTACATAATAGTGGTAATGTATAAAAACCTACAACAGATGCCAACCAAAGATATCTGTTTAGTTAAGCAAAATAACAGTTTGATTTAGTTATTTTAGTCAATATTTTTTTAAAAGGATACAATATAAGTACAATTTCCAATGAAGCACCTATGGCTCCTAAAGCAGATAGCGAACTAATACCAAGTGAAAATTGCTTAAGAAAAAGAAAAATCATAAACATTAAAAGTTTTCCAGATAATTTGTACAATAAAAACTACACAATAAATAAATTTATATAATTTACATTTTAGTACACTTTCACTAATCCAAACTAATTGTGGCATGGAATTGTTTAGATTAGATTTATATGTAGAGAAAGAGAAACACATGCTTAAATTCATTATTTAAATTTAGTACATAGAAATATTAAATTATAAGTTTTTGTCTCCAACTTAAACATTTATCAGAACAAACAAAATTGATTTGGATTAGTGTGAGTATGGACAAATTGTTATTCATGCAATCATATTCAAGTAAAGGTAATTTGTATTTTATCTGACACAAGTCTAAAACTGCATCAAAAATAGAAACATACCAATCAATTGTATGCTAATCATTAATTATACTAAATTAGTTCCTCTAATTAATCATGAAGTGACAATTCTCAAATTATTGGTGTAAACAGTACATAATCATTCCATTGAAAAAACATTAAAAGTTAATAAATTCATTGCCTTTTAAATTGTTAAATTATCATTTCTTTAATGTTAACAATAATTCAGGTTAATCATGGTGACAAATTCAGTTTCATTAGAAATGACTAGTTTTTTCGTATCTGTTTTCAGTCTGAAATTTTATTCAAACTGTTATTAGTACCATAATTTTAGAAATATGTATTAATTTTAGAAATATGTATTGATATTTTTAAGGAATAAGCTTCAATCTCATTTATAGCCAATTATCACTTCTGACTGATTAATTATTAATGCCATTATCTTATTTTTGAAAGACGTTTTTCATTTTTAAAGAAGTAGATTGTTATTACATTATTTCATATTGTTTTGTTAACTACATTACACTTGAAAGAATGTCTGATGTGTAGAATTAAGTTAATTTATCAGTTCATAATGTAAAAATAGGACAGTCAGAAATATTGAAAATCATTGCATCTATTTATTCAGAATGACATCAGAATAGACTCACCATGAAAGTGTATAATCCATGTTCTACATTAAAAAAAGATAACAAAACATTATCTTACTTGAATCAATGCCAAGACACTTAATTTATTGTGATAATTTTGATTATACTCTAAGTTATTAGAAAATTATCATGGTACATTATTGAGATGAAATTGGTCTATATATGGATCTTGTCCAGTGTCCAATTGAGAGATCAAACCAAACACCAGACAGACAGTTTGGTTCAAAATTGCAGTGTTAGCAATATAGCTATTATGGATGGGTTAGGTTGACTACTCAAGAATAATGTCTCTGGCAGGTTGCCTTCTAAAGGAACAGAGGACGACAGTGTGCATAGCACCCAAGCATTTTTTATTTACATACAAATTTGTATGTAAATTAAAAATGCTTTGTATACAAATCAAATCTCTGACTACTAAAATTTAATTGTAGTAACCCAACTTGATCAAGGACAATTTATTTTTAAATATTTTCATAAATTATCTATTTATGGTTTAAAGTTTTATATATTTTATTAATTTATAGATACTAAGGAAAATTGTTGTTATAAAAAGTTAAAACTAAAAAAGCTGTATATAAACTAATTTTTGTCAAGTATTTTTAATGATTAACAATGAACAATTAATTCAGATAATCTAATTGTATGATTCAGCTAATTAATCATAGCTTAATATTTTAATTAAGAATAGGACAATCAATGTGTAAAAATAAAATTTATTTTTAAAGCAGTTATTATTCAAAACATTGATTATTAAAGTAAATTATCTGCCATATTATAATTTATTTTTATTAAAATGTTTAATCATTTTATAAAAAGATTTAATATATGATAAAAACTGAATTTCAAATGATTAATTTGCTAATTTAAAAATATTCTACTTCTGTTACTTTTCATTGTTTTTTGTAACCAGTTATATCTATTGATACAGTATGTAATAAACAGATTTAATATGAGAACTGTTTAAAAAGGTAAGGTTTCTGAAATGTTAAACACAGTAGCACATAATTTTTTGATCTTATGAGTTAATTTTTCAAGATATTTGAACAGTATGGACAAATTGTTATTCATGCAATCATATTCAAGTAAAGGTAAACCTATGCAAGTGTTGGAAAATGATCAACAAGTTAAGAACCCTTGATTCTTATATTTGTTATAGAGCAGGGGTCGGCAACCTGCGGCTCTTTAGTTCCATACGCAAATATTATTTATTTTATCAAAAAAAAAATTTTAAAATCGTTCTGAATCGATTAACGAGGATTAGGCACTGATTCTATCTCTCAGCCACTTGTACTCGCTTTTCATCGCACCCCTCTCCCATGAAATGCGTTGTCACTGTCGTCAGTCCGTCGGAAGCTCTCGAATGACGCCGTCGTCGGATGTTTCCATTATCTAATTTGTTGTGAAAAACACTACTTATATATGAATAAACAGATATTTTTTCTTATGAATAAATAGTTTAGTTTTTTTTATCAAAAAACTTTATTTATGCGAGTACTATTTATTGTTGGCAAGAAAAAATGTGTGGCTCTTTAAAAACTTTGAAATTTTGTAAATTGTAATTTTGGCTCTTCCAACTCAAAAGGTTGCCGACCCCTGTTATAGAGCATCAAAATCAGAGGTTTAGGCAATGTCCTTTGTTTTAGAAATATATTCATATGATTATTTAAAAAATTGTTTGGATAAATTGTATCTAGTTAACTTCTGAAATAAACTTATATTTTTCTTTTTGAGGAAGGAAAATTATTTTTGACATTATTAATTCTATGAGAAGATATGATAAAGAGCTATTTTCAAAATGTTTATAGCAATAAATTGTTTCATGATAATGTCTATTTTTCTACATTAAATAATTTTATAATTGCTTTCAAAATTTTCCTTTAATATTTTCTCAATTCTACTAGTATTTTTGTTTTTATAAAAAGTTATTTTTCTTAACCTGTAATTTAATTAAAACAAAGTTATGGAAACATTAAAAATTAATTTTGAAATAATACATTAGGTACCATTTAGTGTTATGCTCATTTTAAATAAGATTAATCAAAACTTTTTAGTTATTTTAATATTATACTGCAAAATTAACTGGATAATAGTCAAATAGACTATATAATTTTTGTACAACTTTATATTAATGAAAACACAGTAATAAATTATAATTAATTAAACTTACTTCTGTATATATAGGTAAAGCTTTAATTCCAACTAGTAGTTCTAATGTGTTATGAGCCACCATTACCACTGATATTCCCTAAACAAACAAATATAAATTGAATTTTTTGAAGTGAAATTTTACAAAATAAAAAAAATTTAAGAAATAAAAAGATACTTACAGTAAGAGCAAGAAGCAAGACCATAACAAATGGATAACCAAGATTTCTACGAATGGGTGATACTTTCCTTTGCTTTTCTACACAAAAATTTTATTTATAATTAACTTCATTTATTAAGTTTAAACTTAATCTCATTTTTTTAAAAGAAGTTTTTATTATTACATTTAAACTAATTATAAATTTTTAGTTAAAGTTATATTATTAAAATGATAAGGTAGAAGAATTTTAACATTATTTTGAACTAATGTATTTACATTGTCACAATTATAAATCATTTAATAAAATAATTCTAGTTACAGTAAAATACTACAAAAAGAAAAAATAATGTTATCATTTTTTAATTTTATTACATCAAAAAGTTTATGAAATAGTTTGGAAAATTTCATTAAAAATTAAATATTCATTCACAGAAATATTTTAAAATATTCTTTATATATATTATATGTGAGAATCTGAGTTGAGAGATTATATTATTGACAAATTTATTTTAAGTAATTTTTATAATTTTGTTAGAAATTTTATCAATCTAAAAATTAAGTAAAAGGGAACTTCCTTTTACTGCCAGAAGAGAACAGTTTAGTTACTCTGAAAATAGAATAGTGAGACTGCACGCTTTCCAACACACAACAGAAGTATGGTGGGATTTTCAAATAATCCTATTGGATTGGAATTTTAGTATAAAAGGTGATAGGTCACCTTCGAATGTGCTCTTGTTCACGCTAAGGTGCTCTTGCTAAGGTTCTTGCCAATGCTTTAGCCAACACTCTCATCCCTCTTCTGGTTCTTTACTTTGGCTTCTTCCCAAAAACTCTCCACAATTAACATGGACACATAATAGGAGAGTTTACATAATTATATTATGTAAACTCTCTCTCATCTGGATAAAATTAATGGGTTAGAATTTGAAGTCCCCTCATACTTGAATATTAAGAATACAATTTTTGTTTTTATTCTTAACATGGTTTAATTTGAATCTCCATTTATTTTGTGTATATATGATAATTAGTTTTTGTTTAAATAAATATATAGATATGATTTTAATTTATGAATGCCTAACTCCACAGTTGGCTCACATATCTCGTCATTTTGCGTTTAAACTAAACCCTCCTGAAATTCTGGTTAATCAAAAAATAGCCTTTTTCTTCCCATCAGAAGATACAAGATTCACAAGTTAGGGCACAATTGAACTTATCCTAACTGGTGTCAGGACTCTATGAAGAAAGATTTCACAGATCTTCATTTCCATCCTGTATGTAAAATGGGGTTGTCCCAGAGTCCCTGCTTTTCACATATAAATTTTTCTTAATATAAAATTTAATGACATTTAGGAAAAAATTTCTTAAATTTATCAAAGAATTTCTTGAATGAGCATATAAACATGCTGAAATTCAATTTTGAATAATAAAAATATTTACTAACAGTCAAAGCATATTTTTATTACATGAATATAGAATATATTTTAGATGATTTCAACCACTCATAGTGGATAGAATATGCACAGTTTAGAAAATATGTACTTTTTAAATTTAAATATACAGTGGGTGATCAGATTACGAACACTTTTGCTAAAGATTTTTATGATCGAACAACGAACACATGTTCGGATAATGAACACTTTATTAAACAAATATAAAAAGAATCGATGGAAAATAACAAATACCAATTGATTTTCCCTTGTCTTCAGGTGACAATTCAAAACCTTTCGGAGCGTGGGAGACGTCAACATCGACACTCAACCCAATACCAATTGGATAGTATTAATATTCCTTCAAATTTTGAAAATCCCTTGTAATTCCAGCTTTTTGTTTACCTTTCTGACAAATAATTTTTTATAGTCTTCGTGAGACTGTCGGACAGGCACTTGTTAAGTTTTGCATCGGGGTTTATTTACGAAAGGTGAAAGTTTAACTGTCCCATTGGATATTCGTTAATGTTTTAATACCAAATTTCGAATTTCATCTGGGCCTTGCATTTAAATCATTTTTTGTGAGCTAGTTCATTTCTGTTCTTTGAATTTTTGTAAGTGCTTTTCTGAACTTTTTATTTAAAAAAGAAACTGATAATATTATGGAGCCTAAAAAGAGTAGAATGTCAGAACTGTGCTCACCATAGAAACCAAGTAAGAGATAATAGCCAAGGTAGAAAGTGGGCACAAGGTGTCTGATGTTGCTAGGCAGTATGGTTTAAACAGGTCTACAGTAGGCACAATCTTAGCTATGAAAGATATATCAAGAAGTCTCAAGCTGTTAATGGAGTAATGAAAATCACATCTGAGAAATAAAGAGTATTTTAGAGCTCATAATGGAACCTGAAACTGATCTGACAACAGAAGAACTCCAGGNATATCAAAATCTTGTAATAATTTACTGTGACCAAGAATTATAATTTTATAACAACTTGCTTGATGAATACAAAACTTGTTTAACTATACAGTGGGTGATCGGTTAATGAACATAATCCGTTCCAAGACTTTGTTCGTTAACCGATTATCAATTTACCATAGGTCTTTATGATTAATTTGTTCCAGAGACTCCTAAAAATAAAAATATATATACTTTTTTACTATGTTTTATTTATATGTAATAGTAAAAATACATACATACATATATATATATATATATGTATGTATGTATTTTTACTATTACATATAAATAAAACATAGTAAAAAAGTATATATATTTTTATTTTTAGGAGTCTCTGGAACAAATTAATCATAAAGACCTATGGTAAATTGATAATCGGTTAACGAACAAAGTCTTGGAACGGATTATGTTCATTAACCGATCACCCACTGTATAGTTAAACAAGTTTTGTATTCATCAAGCAAGTTGTTATAAAATTATAATTCTTGGTCACAGTAAATTATTACAAGATTTTGATATTTTCTCACCAAATAGAAACAAAACCACATCAAATGCCATGCTACATTCTTTCATATTTCATCTTCATTATAAAGAAAAAAAACTAAAATTTGTTTAAGTGAAAAATTTTATTTAGTTATAATTAAAATTAGCATTAAAACATATATATTATTAAATACAAGAAAATGTAACAGTTAAGATATGTGAAAGTTGCCATACAACCTACATAAAAAGTATAAAAAATTAGGATTATAAATTTTAAAAAAGTGTGAAAATTGAATTACCTAATTCTTTTCTTTTTTTTTCTCTACTTTGTAGTTCTTCTAATATATGTCCTACACCATTCTGGACAGAAGAATTTTTTTCTATTAAAATAAAAAAAATTTTTACATTAAAAATAGTAACTTGTGAATTTGATGTTTTTGTTTAAAGTGATGTACAATTAAAATGAAGCAATACATAATTCTAAGAAAGGATCCTAATTCAAATAAAATTTATCAAATGTTATAAATATGCGAGTTAATCATTTTATACTGTCCATTCATAGACTTCAGTAAAATAAATATATTGACTCATGAAAAAGTCATTTTCAATAAAGGTTTTCCATCACAAGCCTATTTTTTAAATCACAAAGCTGCCTATTTCAAAGGGATCTTTTAGTTGAAACTATCTTTAATTATTGGCTTATCATTGTTTTGTATATTTTTGCAGAGGTGTAGCTAGCTTCTAATAAAGATCATCTCTGCAATGGAAGACTGCTGTTCCTGGTGGTTGGACATGACGAAAAGTGAATACATTTTTAGTTTCTTCTATGTATTTTATTGTGTAAATATTGTAAGCCATTTTTAATTGTAATTGCATTTTACAAGGCCACAAATGTAGTGACTTGTGCAGGTTGCACAAGTCACCACATTTGGTACATATATGTGAAAATGCAGATTACCTTCATTTTATGTTTGATTCACGTTAATTGACAATAACACTGGTTTCAAATTTTTCCCATAATGTGCAGAGTATTTTTGCAAATGCTAAATGCAAATATTTTTTGCACCTCCAGTAGTAACACTAGTAATGCTAGTAGCAACTTCTCTTTAATAGTGATTCTAAGCAGAATCGGTTTTGTGAGATCCGGAATTTTTACCGAATTTTCCGATTAATATCCCGCAGTTTCCTAAACCTCCAATTTAATTTTCCTTTAAAACCTAAACGACAATCTAACAAAAAAAAGGGAAATTTTCCGATCTCCCCTTTCATTTAAAGTAAACATCCGTCCATTTCGAAACTAATCCCACATTCCAACTCCAAAGTTGATAGTTAGCATGGGCCCGGGAACAACTTTGACCCATCCGCGTACCATTTATCTCACAACAATTGGTCACCTGACCATTCTCCCACGCCGAACTTATAAAAACCCCTTTCTTCCCCTTCTCGGGGGAGTCGTTCATCCGCCGTCATTTTAATACTGTGTCCTGCGAATATTGTGTCCGATTGATATACTGTGTCCTATCGATATTGTGTCCTGAAGAAAAATTATCATCCTTATCCTACCAACCCGTTGGATATCATAACCTTTTTCCTCAAGAATATTTAAAAACAAAGAGGTATGGAACAAATTTTTGTGAACTCTCTCTCGGTCCTTCGCGTTTCAGGGACTCAGATTTTTCCCTTTGAAATTAGTTATTGTAATATCTATGTAGCTAATAAATCGTTGTTATCCTGTTAAATTGGTGTCCTCTTTTACTCGTATATCGTCGGTCACCTTACTGACGCACTCCTCCCTCCGCCACTCGACCCGAACATTTAAAGCCCGTTACAGCGGGGAAAAGAATCCTTCCATCCATCCTGACAGTGAAAGGGTTTAACAACCTGTTGCCGGATCGGGAGGCCTACACCCTCCCCGGCGGTTCACAGTTTGTTTATTATTCTGGAGTGTATTATTCAAATGGCATTTCACCAGTTTAAAAGTGAAATTATTGTACAATAATAAAAACAGAAAAAGAATAACCATGTCAAATAAAAGGAAAATCCAAGAAACCATGTCAACCTGTAACTTAAGAAGATAAAATGGAAAGGTGGTAAAAGCTTGAACCAAATTTGGTAGAACATTTACATGCACAAAGGAGATGAATAATAATAAATTAGTGTGTGTTGCAAAGATAATAACTACTTAAACAATTTCTTGCTAATGCCAAATCATTGATTGAAGAGTGTTCTGAAAAAAGATATGACAGAGAAAAGTAACTTTGAAAGGAGGAGTTTAAATGTAGCTTTAACACATTATGAAATTCTCAAGTTCTTCAAATTTTATATTTTAAGTTTTGTACTAATTTGTTTACACTGCTTGCCCTAGGAATGCATCATCAGTGTAAAATGAGGGTAGCACTGTGCTATATCAAGAATTGTACTGAATAATCATGGAAGAAAAAAACAAAATAGAATTCTTCATGGTCACTCACATATATGCATTTCTTAATCCATAAAATCCAAAATTTAATGCATCTGAGAATGAGAAATTATAGATATTCAAGTTAGGAAACAATCTTCAAAATATGGGTCTTTTAGCTTTTAGAATTTATTCCTTTGGCATTCCCTTGATAGTATTTTTAAGTCTCATATGAATCAAATAACTTATATATTTCATTTAAGTGATACAAATTTAATTTCTAAGATCTTGTCAAATTCATTAAACAAACAATAGATAGATTAAATAGAAATATTTAAAAAAGACATTATATTAATAAGTGAAATAAATTTTTGAAGTTAAAATTTCTTCATTCTAAATTTAATTATATAAACATTAAGTAATTGACTTTATTATTTATAGAATCACATTTATTTTTCAATCTGAAAGTGATAAAAGAAATATTGCAATCTGCAAGTATGAAAGAATATTCAATAATCTAGAATGAAATTTTAAAAACTCACATGTAATATATTAAGTTCAATTAAGCATAGAAAACTGTTCATATATATTTAGAAAACATATAAGAATAATTTTAATACATAATGCAACAAAGTCAAAAGTATTGATTGTAAATTTATTACCACTTTTGGCATTTTGAAGTTTGCGTTTTAGATGCTGTTCTTCAAATACAGCAACATAATATTCATCTTGAATATTTCTCAAAAACTAAAATGTAATTTATAGAAATTAGGAATAATCATAGCTTATAAATACAATGCAAGATGAAAGAAAGGAACTTTACAGACCTGAGGTTTTACAACTAGTTCTCCTAATACTGTGAAGAGATGAGCAAAGCCAACTGGAGTACATACTTAAAAGAGAATTTTCATTATTAATTTTTGACATTTGATATAAAATATTCAATTCATATTTTTACTTACCCAGTAACAACAACACACCCAAGAATGACACACAAGAATAAAGGAATGGTAAATAATAATTCCAAACATCTGAAAAAAGAAGTTATTTTTTTTTTAAACACAATCATCTCTCTAACTAGTAAAATTCATAAAATTTAAACATGAAAAATTTTAAATAAATTAACTTGTTTTATTATAGTACAAAAACTTATTCTAGATATTTAAAATACTTGGCTAAAAATTGAGAAAAAAAAATTTATAAACAGCACTAGAAATTGATGAATTGTTGCAAAATTTTTCTTATGAATAGTCTATATTGGGAATAAAGGAGCAAAGTTTGTGGAGACAAGCAAGTGGGAGGTTAAGCTGGTTTTTTCCCTGACTGTCAAAGCCAGGGGAAAAAATAGAAATGGTGGTACCAGGAATGGAAGAAGTGAGATGAAATTTTTAAACAAATGGAAGATGCCCATGGGGTGAGTAAATAGGAGTCAAAGCCACCCATAGTAAATTTGATTTCAGAACAATAAAATGTCACTCTTTTAAATTTTTCATCAGAAAACTAACAGCATCTGTTTAACATAATTATTTTTATTATATTAATAGTTAACAAATTATTCAGTATATATAATTTATGTAATTGAATTATTCCAATTTGAAACTGTCTATTCTGACAATTAGATAATAAATATTCTTAAGTAAAATTCAGAAGAGGTATATTAAAATTTAAAAGAAGTTAAATTAATTTTTCTAAATTCCATTCAGGAAGAGCAATACAGTATTATAACTAATGGGTTTTGCAAATTTTGATAGGTAGATTAATTTACACATATAAAAAAAAAATTTAGACCCATTTAAATTGAATTGCTAATATGATGATAATCTATTAAAATATGTATTAACTGATTTGAAAAGGAAAATATAATTTGTAATAATCAAATTGATATTTCATATGACTACTTTCATGGAATATATATTATTAGTATATGGTACTATTAGGAAACAGTAAAATAATTATACTGAAAAAAATATATATTTTCTTGTCATTCTTTACTGTATACAAATCCCCATCATAAAAACAATTCCAAAACATTTTGAATAGACTATGTAAACCCCAAGTAGTCATAACATAGGAAAAAACAATTACCAAACTAGATGACAACTGACAATTTCGTAATATTTTAAATATTCTAAAATTGTTAATCATCTCAACTGATAGTATAAGGTAGTATCAGAAAGTTTCTCCAGAGAGGAAAGTTAAATTTGTCAGTGGCAAGTAACTGGTTTTCATTTTTATAGGAAACGTTATATCTTGGAATGATAAAGAAATGTATTTGTAAATGTGGATATAATTTTTGATCAAATGCATATCAAATATTTGTATGTCTGTTTTAGGAAATATATACTTACTTTTAATAATATTCACATCCCAAGAATTTGCAGCTTGAAAATTAAATAGATTTTATTATATTGTTAGTTCTTAAATTTTACTCATCTTAAAAAAATTATTTATAATTGAAAAATATTTTCAAAACATCTATGTATAATAGTTTGAAAATTAAGTATGGTTAAATAACTGATTTTAACAAATCAGGAACATAATTGGAAGTGAGTATATAAACTATATCTTGAATAATAAAAACAAACTAGCGATATAAACTGAATTTTACAAACATTTATTGTGTGTTAATTAATGTAACATAATAATTCTCAGACTTTAAAATCTAATTATCTAGTTTCTATTAAAAAATAAATAAATAATAATAAACTTAAATAAATTACACATTTAAAATACTAAATTTGCAACACTACCTAAATTGTTCAATTGCATTATTAAAAGTTACAATAAATAATATGCACATATAAAAATGAGAATTTAACAATAAAATGTTTACAATGATGACCAAATGATTTCAAATAAGATAAATCTGTTGTTCTGAGGAATCTGAAATTTCAGTCAACATCAAAATGCTTTTCACAGGTGTGTACATTGTTTTTGAAACTCTTCTATAATGTTCTCTAATATTACAATTACTTGTAGAAACTATACAATTTGCATTAGTAACTGCAGCATCATTAAAAACAAACATTTTCCTTGCTATATAGTAAGTATTCTAGTTTCCTACTCTTGCTAAGGTTAAATATGTTTTTAAAAATAATATAGGAAGGAGTTCACTAGAAATAACATTGCAGTTTAGTTATGAGATCATTTTACACTATCTGTGAAAAATTATGTGGCCCAGATACACTGAACGTGATTACACCCATCCTATTATTCAGTACTTGTACCAATGTAGGAGTGGAAAAATATATGATTAGCATATTGTGGGAAGAAGAATTATTTATTCATTTTTGATTTATCAGTAATTTCTCTCTTTTCTTAGTTTTTCATTGACTCCCTGGAAAACAGAGGGGGAAATCTCTTTCTTAAATCTTCATTTTCATACTACTATCTTAATTTTTACTGTTATCAAACTATACAATAACAGAAAAACTTGATACAAACTTTATTTCACATTTATATATAAATTTCAAAACATACCACTTTCAACTTGAAAGCAGCAATAGAATCAGGATTTGAGATTTTTTCATTTGTATATATTCTAAGAGGAAAAACCTAGGAAAGGAGAAGCATTCATTCATTTTCATTTATCAACTAGCTTACCCGTCACGCATTGCTGCGATCTCAGAAGAAACGAAATTCAAGCAAACTCATTATGATAAAATTAAATTTTCATTTTATCATTTTTATTGAAACTTATTATTATTATTCATTTTCATTGGGAAAATATTTCAAAGTGTCGTTTCAATTCTATTTATTTATTGTAGTGCTTGTGGATACACGATATTTTTTGTTTTTCCGTCTGGTGCGTACACGAATAAATCGGAAGGTTTTCCGACGCGTGAGCCGGCCACATACAGTTGTCCATGTGAGAAGCACGGATTCTCCAAATTTAACCCACACACTCGCTGCGATTGTCAGAATTGCGATATTCCCCATTTTTATATATTTTTTTTAAATCCTTTATAATTTTCATTATTTAATTGCTCCTTCCTCTTCCTTGGCATGTTGTGAAATTTCTGATAGTTGGATAATAAACCGCTTTATTGTAATTTGTCTTTTTAAATTATTTTGAGTCGATATTAAAATTTGGAAAAGGGGGATACCTAGATCGGTAAAATAGGCGAATTTCTTCCTACAACTTTGGTTGTTGTTCGGGGTACAGTTAAGGTTTTAACTAAGTTCGAGCGAATACGTAATTAGCAAAAAAAAAGTTGAAATAAAGTGATTAAACAAAAATTATTACAAATATCGTAAATAACAAATGCATATATAGAGATATTTTTTGAAAGGGGGAAATGGTCTTCACAATTTGAAATTGATCGAACACACTGCTCGAATGCTCGTGTAAACGCGCGCCATCTATCATAGGATAAATGTATTTTGCGGTAGTGAATTAAAAAACTTTCCAAAGTTTCATGGCAATCGTACTATGCCACAAACCTTCGCTGGAGTATATTAAACAACTTCCCAAAGTTTCACGGCAATCGGATAAACGGTGTGGTAATGCATGAAGGACATAGGACAGACACACAGACATACATTCATTTTTATATATATAGATAATGGTGCAGAACTCAAATTTTTACATTACTCATGGAATTGAATTTTAACTAAAAGCAACAGATTTTTTTTCCTACTTGGGCCTGTTTTTTCAGATAAACAATTATATTAAAATTTAAATATTTTAGATATATCTTACTTATTTATAAAATATATTATCAACATTTTATATTAAATAAGATGATTTCATTAAATTTAGAAAATGCATTAATTAAGATAATGAAATAACACTGTTTTATAACCAGTAAAAACTGATAAAACATATTATAGAATTAAAAAAAAATGTTTACAAAGAAAATGGAAAGTTAAGTTTTGTAAATTTCACAAAACCAACAATACACAAAAATTTAAATATTTAATGAGTATATCCACCTCTTTCTCAGCAACTCAATTGACTATATCAAACACCTGAATTTTTGCCGAGCATAAATTATTTTATTACTCAAACGTTTTCAACCTATTTGCTATAGGCCATCTTCATTTATTTTGGAATGATAATCCTGAAGATGGCCTATAGCAAATAAGTTAAAAATGTTTGAGTAATAAAATAATTTATGCTCGGCAAAAATTCAGGTGTTTGATATAGTTTATTTAATGAATATTTTTGCTTGTTTCAACAAAGCTTTGTCAAAACACTAAAACAAACAACAGAATTTTCTTAAGTAAAACATATTTTGTATATAATGTTTTACTGAAGAAAATTCTGTTGTTTTTTTTAATGTTCTGATAAAACTTAAGTAGAAAAAGCAAAAATACACATGAATATTAAAACATGAAATATTTTAATTTTGTGTATCATCAGTTACGTATTTATTATTTGCAGTATTTACAATCCTACTAAGATTAAACTTCTTGGATAATATTATTTTTTGTTTAAAAATGTACAATATCTAAACACAGTTAATGTTGCTCAATAGCACCAAATTTAGAGTTGAAATTTTTTCAGATCAAAAACTTTCATTTTTTCAGAAATTATATTATATTTATTATTACAATTAAAAAAACTATAATCATTAATAAAAAAATATTTGCCACTTACTGAATAAAGATTCAATACTGGAATGTCCATAATCAAGGAATGCAGAAAGTAAATATGTCATCCCTAGAATAAGGAATCCTAATAAAACAAGTACTAGAAATGTTTCATAAACTCTTGCCATTATTCCCTAAAGTAAAAAAAAAAAAGTTTAATATTTTACTTTAGTTCCGTGTATTAAAAAATTAAACTTTTGAATAATGAAACATATTCAAGAAAAAAATTCATACATTAAAAAGACAATAATAAAAATAACTTATTTTTAAAACTGAAAATTGTTAAAATTTATTTTATGAACAAGAACAAATAGGATTCATTAATCTTTTACAATTTCAAACATTCACAATTAATTTTAACTTCAGAAACACAAAGAAATATCATTAACATATAAAAGATCTGTTTTTTTATTTATTGTTAAAAGAGTTGAAATATCTCAAAATATTAATAATTTTACTTCTGCAAATCATTGTTACAGAAACATTTTTATGAGAAACTAATTATTGAATTCCAGTATCAAGGCAACTACCAACTATAACAATATATTTCATCAAAATTAAAAAAAGTTTTAAAATAATTTTTAAAAACTATCTTAATAATTAAAACAAAAGGATGTAGCTGATATAAAACTAGATGTGACCATTTCTGATTTGATTAAATCAGAAGAGATACAGATGTTCAGTATCTCTTCTGATGTATCAGATCAGGAGTTTCTCCAAGAGGAGACCGACAAATCTGTTAGTCTAGATAACCCTAGATAAACCTAGGTTTGTTTCATGTAATTTTCTTTTGGGGTTTGTTAAGATTGGCTTGTTAACTGGCTTAGGGTTAACATACTGAAACCTTTGACTGTTGTCAGAAGTTGACTTGGCATAATGATTTTGATACTGATCCCAGGCCAAAAACAAAGATTGCTCTCAGACCCTTAAGAAACTTGGACTCAGAACCTAGGTCTAGTGACCAGGCACTGGAGGTTACTAGATAGCTTTTGGCTCTTATACCAATGCCTGATTCTGACAGCTAACAGTGCCTCAATAGGGATGTTTCAAGGTCTGGGTCACAGGCCTTTTCTGGGTCTCACCAGGCAACTGTTAAGATTCTTGGTGATCACTCTAGCTCACCATCATCAGCTTCAGGATTAGATAGAAAACCCATCAGTGCTGGTTCACAACTAGTAGCTTCAGGGCCTAGCTGTAGGTCTACTGCTACTGGTTCTGGATTGGTGGTTTCAGGACCTGGTGCTAGTCTCACTGCTGTTAGTTCTAGGTTGACAGTTTCTGGGCTTCATAGAAGCTCCTCTGCTGCTGCCTCAAGGTTGGCAGCTTTAGGGCCCAAAAGTAAGCCCACTGCTGCTGACTCTCAGCGAGTTCATTTAACATATGATACTCCAACTAAAGGCAAATCACTATATTCAGATTTACCCAAATCACTCTCCAATACTGCAGGATAGCTTGAGTGCCAATTCTGAATGACCTTGTAGTGATGGATTACATTGACATTGCTCTGATACAGGAGTCCTGTTTTCAGGGGTCAGGTTAGGGGTTTGCCTAACTTACAAGCAAAGTTTCCAAGTAACAAATAAAATTAAAGTTTATTTTGTACTAATCACAAGAACAGTTGCTGATTAATCAGAATCAGAAAAAAAAATATGAATTTTCTGTATAGTTAAGATATTCAGAAGGACAAAAACAAATGTGAAATTGCCAAAAATACAAAAAATTTGTTGACTTTGATATCAATACTACCTAAAACATTGTTTATTAAAATATGTAATATTGACAATAATGAAATCCATATTCTAGTTCATGATTTAAAAAGAAATGATTAAAGCAGAGCTTAATCAAGCACCAAGATCATCACAAGCTTTCTGCTGGCAATTTTCAGCTTCACAACTGTGGACACTGAAGAAAAATATTTTTTGGGTTTCAAACAATTAAAATTCTTATCTGATTCTGATCAGGAAGCTGATCTGAATTCTGAAATTACACAATTCAGACCAGCTTCATAACTTTTGTTTGCTGCTATGTTATGATTCTTACAGAAAAATCAACACTTATTACTGAATCTGATTTAGGAATAAATGTTCCATACAGTGGTTAAAAAAAACCTCAGTTTTTGATTTATTATTCTGAAACTCAGCTTGTAAGATGGTACTCTTCACTATCAATCACCTGAAAGATTCATCACTTAGTTCTCTGGTAGAACAGGGAGTTGTTACTCTGATCTTCAACTGAGCTAAGTGAACTGGTGATTGGAAGCTATATTGTAAAACTGTCATTCAGTAAAAAACAATCTTCATAGAGAATCAATCACCCAACATAAGAGCAAAAATTTTTGCTTGAACATTTCTAATGTTTCAGTTCTAGACTCAAAGATTTTAGCTAAGGAATCCTGCTCTGAACTTGGTTCTTTAGTTCTTTCCAGTTAGTAAATCTTTCAGCCTCTGCTTGAGAAACTATGCTCTATTTACATGAAGTTTATTTACCAGGCTACAAAACTGATGATTCAAGCAAGTCTTTACATTACAGTAGAGCGTCGTTTATCCAAATCAATTGGGGACTGGGGTTGTTCGGATAACTGATTATGTACGAAAAAATATATTAACCTATCCTGTGTTGAAATTTTTCTCCATTGCGTGTAGCTTTGCGTTGAATTTTCGTCGATGCTAAGCCTAACGTAAACTTTTTAAAATAATAATCGTAGTTATTGCATCGTTAAAAATGATTTCTTTATGTTTTACAAACAAAATAAATACATTGAAAAATATAAAAACAAATAAAAATTATACTTTAGGCTGACTGGAATTCTTTCGGATAACTGACGTTTCAGATAAACGATGCTCTACTGTATTCTGTCCTAATTCAGATGCCATAGCGAATCCTAGAGGTTGATTAGATTGATGATTTCCACTGCCAAGAGCTGTTAAATCATTTGATCCTTTTAATCCTTTAAACATGAGTGGCCAAAATTACCTTAATCCATTCAAGATAAAATTGCCCGAAGGGAAAATTGTTTGACTAATTTTGTTATAGACTGTATTCAGCGATAAACTTTTCAACAGCTGGGATGGAGCATCTAAGGAACTTACTAACACTTCTAATTTCTAACTTTCTGTTCTTGTGAGGGTAAATATTTCTAGAAATATTGTTTATGATGTTTTGAGATAATGAGTGCAAATTTAATCCTAAATATAAACACAGAACAGTATGTTATGCTAATTTCATAGATCCCATCCAAATGATCCCAATAGTGTAGACTGGGTACTATCATTGCTTCCTCACAAATCTGAAAAAAAAACTAAGATAAAATAGAATGCTACAATTGCTGTAAAGAACAAAATCCAGATAACTCTTTCAAAAAGTGTTAAAAACAAAAGATAACTGAACCATCTTCTAACCATTTCATAGAGGAAAGAAGTATTGAAGAGCCAGCATATCACACTTGCAAAATAATGCAGCTGAAAAGGAGTGCATCTTAAATATTAGTAACAATTGTACACCAAAACTAAACATTCAACTTTAAACCCATGAAGTTGGTGATAAAGTTAGATAGACTTTAAATATTCAATATTATATAACCTAGAAAAATTTTTAAAGAGGAAACTAAAATCATATCAGAATTCTAGATTAGCCATATGTAATACAGATGAGTTTTTGAAAGATATTAAGGATTTAAATATAAAATTACTTTTAAAATTGCCAGTTTGGCTATTGTTGATATGTACCCCTCGATAGCATGGGAAATTGTGAAGAAAAATTAAAACAAATTAATGTAGAACCGGATGTTATTGATTTAATAGAATTCTGTTATAGAAGTAACTACTTTGAAATAAACAAAAATTATTATATACAAAATGAAGGCATTAGCATGGGATCTGTTATGGGACCAAAGTTAGCAAAAATAGTAATGATTGACATTGATGAAAAAATTAACAAAGATATGTTGATGACATCCTAATCATATATAATGATATAGAGATTAAAATTAACTACATTAAAGATACAATAAATAACATACATAAAGGAATTCAGTTTAAAATAGAAGAAAATAACATTAACCGTAACATAAATTACTTAGATATTACAATAAAAAGGAATTAAAATAGTATAGAATTTGAACCTTTTAAAAAACCATGCTCTATAAACAAAACAATTAATTATAAGTCTAATATACCTATGTATATTAAACAGAACATTTTCAATATGGAATACACCAAGATTAAGACAAGAACCAGTAAAACTATTAATATAAACAAATATATAAACAAATTAAAAAAGAAATTTATGCTAAATGGATATCCAAACAGAATAATTAATATTTTGGTAACCGGACAGAATGTTTTCAATATGAAATACACCAAGATTAAGACAAGAACCAGTAAAACTACTAATATAAACAAATATATAAACAAATTAAAAAAGAAATTTATGCTGAATGGATATACAAACAGAATAATTAATACTTGGGAAAAGAGGTTGAATGATAAAAAATACAAAAGATTAAAAAAAGGGACCCAGACATAAAATATATTAGTTTTCTCTATATTAGAGGATTATATGAAGAGATTGACAAAGATGAGAAAAATTAATGTAAAACTAGCACCTAAATGTGAGAAATTGCAATTTAGATTAAAAGCAAAACAATTAACAAAAATAACTAGACAAGAAAAAGAAGAAATGTAAAATATAGTCTATAAAATTCATGTACTTGCAGTAACACTAATATTTATATAGGTGAAACAAAACAAATATAATTTGAAAGAACACATTGCAGACTTAAAATACAACAGATTAAATTCAGTTTTCCACAATCATTGTTTATTGAATAATTGCAATATAAGTCTAATGTTGAAATTTTACATAAAGAAAAAACACACAGCAGAAAATTTAAAGAAAGTTTCGAGATCCTAAAAGCCAACAATTGTATTAATAAAAACTTGAGTTTAAAAATAAATGAAAATTGGTTAAATATCTTATAAAATAATTTCAAAAATTTTTTTCTAGTTTAGTTATGATTGTATTATCAAAAATAGTTATTGTAAAATAAGTTACTGTATTTTGTTAAAATATGCAAATTTGTATTATACCGCATTGTGACAGAAAAAACTGTAAAGAGGAAGCGGGTTTTATCTCT